ACGCCGGCCGCACGTTCTGCGAGAAGGCGACGGGCGCCGCCAGCCGCAGCAGCGCCGCGTCGTCGTAGTTGAACTTGCGCTTGTAGCGCGGGTGCAGCACGGCGCGCTCCACGGCGTAGTCGCCCGGCCCGCCCGGCGTCGGCCGCAGGTCCACCTCCCCCAGGCGCACCAACTTCGGCACGCCCCTGCGCCGCCACAAGCTCACGTGACACGCTCTCCTGCGCTCAGCCGCCACGGCGTGATCCAACCGGGAGCGTACACGCCACCACGGTGACGTTCAACCTCCCGATTGGAGGACACCGCAACCGGAAGTAATACAACTGACAATAGTGTGACGAGATTTCGTTTGAAATAATGGGAAGTGCCTAATGGTGAGAACTCAAGCGGGAAAATATTTTGGAAATAGTTTCCGCAAATAGCAATGATCAAATGCTGTCATTTAATGACTAATGAAATAGTGAGTGGAGCACACACTAATGTGGAAAAGATTGTAAGTGTTGTAAAGCCCCCTTTACGCGATAGAAACTCTCTCTTCCTAGAACTGAGGCGGAAATGTGTACAAAGCAAATACACTATGCTTGTTTTGCGACCAACATTCGTGTTTTCTGAGCTACACATGCACATCATACGGTGTTCCATTGCAATATTTCTTATCGTATTTTTAATGATACCCAACATTACATTGCTCATTGTATACCATATGTGCGAAATTTCTGTGTACACACTCACAGTAACAATGACATCTAGTCCAGCGAGAGGAAAATTCACCATTTGATGGTCACCAAACCGGGAAGAAGAGTGGAGGAGGCCCGCTCCCAGGGCTCTAGTTTCGTACCTGCTGGTATTCACACGAGAACATGTCTAGATTTCCCATTTAGGAAGTGATTTCGTGCAATTACACAGTGATCCAAACAAAACAAATTTCCTTTTTGCATAATGCTCCGCAAACAATAGGGTTTGCGATGAATCCGTTAAAAATCGTGAAAACACTAAATTAGATTTAATGAACCTTGTTGATTCTTATTTTACGGAGTAACTGAAACATGAATTGAAAAATAGAATCGAAACAAATCTATAACGGGGAAAATAAGTTAGGCGTGCTAATACATTCCCAGCTCTACCTTTATCTAATACACCTCTTTGCTTCAGCGTCAATCCTCGAGGTTTTCACAGCGATGCACTTTTGGAGGTTCCAGAGACCGCAAAAAATCCTTTGTCAAAACCGTCTGTATTCCTTCATTCGTGTCTTACTTTTCTCTTTTCTGTTCTTTTCTTTGGAGGTGACTTTCTCAATAGGGGAACACAACCAATAGCAACGCCCCTAGTCTCTCCAGCTGCAATTCGAGTTGGACTAAAACGGTCAAAATTAAATTAAAACCGGGCTTGAAATTCTAAGAGTTGAACTGCAATTGACGCCACAGAGAATAAAATTTCTATGAAGTTCTTTAAGTGTCTAAACGAATTAGTTAAGAACACAAAAAGTTGTGATCAAGGATTGTGAGTAACGAAATGCCAGATACTATGAAATAAAGATGCCCACAATTAATAGTAAGTAAATTGCATCCAACTTTTTCTCAGAACTGGTAAAAGCCACTTATCTCCGTTGATCACCCCTGATTTCTCATTTGAAGTTGAACCGAAATTCTAAAAACCAAGGTGAATTTGTAGTAAAAATTTAGAAAACTGAACTGCAATAATGAACACTAACTGAAATGCTGAAACTGAATTGCAATTGGACTTGAACGGAGCCGCTGGTTCGGCATGTTGCCGCGAGGGGCGCCACTCACGCGTAGCGGTCGGTGAGGCAGTGCGCGGCCGTCAGCACGTAGCGTTCGCTGACGAGGCTGCCGCCGCAGCGCCAGCTGATGGTGGTCTGCCCCTGGCGCAGGTAGCCCAGCGCCGCCTGCAACAGGAGCGCGCGCGCCTTGCGGCGTCTCCACAGGCCGTCCACTCTGACCTCGAAAATCCCTGTTAGCTGCTACTGCATAAAGGGGGTAAGCAAAATATAACAATAATTGTACAATAGTGACTGCTGTAATGGCGCCCTTCTTCTTCTTCTTCTTCTTCTTCTTCTTCTTCTTCTTCTTCTTCTTCTTCTTCTTCTTCTTCTTCTTCTTCTAGTGCCATATCCTGCGATGGAATGGTGGTATGATGACTACAGAGTATGGGTGAACTGAGTAGGATTTTCAGTGCAATGAAAAAGATATTTTAGATGATGTATTATACCATGAGTTATTTTGCTTTTGATTTTTACCCTACAATCACTACAATCCAACCGTACTAGTCTGCATCATTTTGAATTGGCATTTGGTAACTGATTAAATAAAAGAAACTTAAACACTTAACATTAAAAATAAGATTATATTTTTTTAAATGTACTACATATGTACTACCTGTGTACTACCTATATACTGGACTATTTTACGCTCTAACCTTCATTGCTGGTTCCGTTAATTCCTCAAACCCTATTAATTAAGATTAATTATTGCGTCTTATGAGAATAACAATAAAAGGTTTTGTATATTAATGTGGAATTTAAGATACATTCTGATATCATTGACTTACGCGGATACCGTGATTAATACTTATGCGGATGTAGTGATTAATACTGTTCTATTTATTTTATTAATACTCGTGCTATAAACATGAAATTGCTGAATTGTGACGATCCATTCGAACGCGTCACAATGATTCTAAAAAGACGAAATAAGAAAACCAAAAACTGACGTATTTCATGAAAGAGAACAGTCAAGGTGAAATGGTGGCAGTACAAAGTGTTTATTTCTAATAAAATCCAAGGAACTATGCTGGTAGCAGACCTGGGAAGAGTAAATAAATAAACAAAGAACCGTTTAGAAACGATACACAGTCACTCGTACGAGTTATTATATAATAATGAAAATCATTTATTAAATGAATGAATGTTCGTTTGTTTGGAAAAGACAAGTGAAGGATATAAGAAATGGGCGATTACACAATTGTTTAGACAATCAAATATTAGGAAATTTAAAAGGGGGAAGGGTAATTAAATTTATTATTTGAAGTTTAATTAGGAAGTATTACAGTGAAGAAATTGTGGAAACCAAAAGACATTTAAAATTGGGATATAAAAATGTACAGCGAGTTTGGCAGACTGACAGAGCTGTCGTTTGTTTTAAACTGCGCGGTGAGGAGGAAGGGGTGCAACAGCATATCGATAGACGGGTTGGCAATCTGGTTGTGCTGACATCATGGCGGAAGTGAAATCTGCAGTTTTCGTGTAAAAGTCGGTTGGAAGGTGGTAGGGTGTCGGAGTGGTGTTTCGATTTGGAGTTTGAAAAGAAAAGGACGGTACCCCGACGTGAAAGCGCAAATAATCAAAGCAGCGGTGCGGCGCCATTTTACAGGGTCCAACAATCATGGAGGTGACGCAATTTTGCAACAATCTTACAAGGCCACGATTGTAAACAACTAAGTAATTATTAGTAATGGCCATTAGAGTTATTTTTGTTTTGAAAACGAGTGCATTCGCATGAATGAATGCAGTTTAAATATGTATGAATGAGTGAGTGTTATTAAATTTGTTTTTTTTGAAAATATGTTGTTGTATTTAAAGGTTAAATTTTATGTGCCATGTTATGTTTTGATACTATAAAAAGCTGGGTATATACGGCGGAGTGCAGAATTCGCCGTGTAGCATTTTGAAATCTGGTATTTGTCAACAAATAATTGCTGCTCATATTGATGGCATTGTTAAACTTTGTACATATTAGGAGGTAATATAAACCCAATGATATCAGAATGAACATAGAGAGCCAGGTTCCCAAATCAATATGATATTATTTCGGTTTCCTGTACAAGGGCAATTTCACGAAATCACACAAAATTTATAAACATGTACTGTAGGAGCGTAAACTTCGCGTAACGTAATAAAATAGTTTACAGATTTTGACTCGCTCAAGTGTGGGGTGAAACAGGGAAGGGGTTCATTATTAGAAATTGTAAATCACAAGTTTATGATGCATTACAGAATGTTGAGTGAAAGTGATACGAAGCTGATTTTACTCGTTTATACACATGAAATTATTATTAATTTTCTTTCTTTAGTTTGGAAGTGTGTAATTTGTCGTTATTAATACTCGTTATTAATTTGTCTTGTCTATCCATTCCATTGGAACAATGTATATTATTATTGATTTGAATCTCTTTAGAAACTCTCACACTACTTTTATTATCCAGTGAAATAATAATGTATTACGCAACTAGTTTATAATGTTAAACTTTATCGCATGGAAACGTTTTGAAAACGAGGGGCGTTAGCGAGTTTTCGAATTTGTACGACTGTATGAAAGCAATATTATAAACAAGTTGTATAAGTTATTGTTTGTATAACAGCATTAAAAATGAATAAGAAAATCAACATTAATTTTTGAAAACAACACTTTGTGGCGTTACGGCTATTGACAGTGGTGAGAAAAAAGGTCGGCTGTTCGGTTTACCGCTACCTACCCACGATTTTCTCTGGCAACTTGCTGAATGTGTGATGATCCGATTATTCGTGCCAAAAATTGAAAATACATTATAATCAGTGTCATAAAACGTACTTTTATGATCGAATTATTGTAACGAAAAAAGACACTTGTAATGTGGAAATAGAAAAAAAAGTTCCTTCGACGCTTATATAGTTGACACAGTTCAGAATTTTTCCTGTTCTTACATCATTGAAATAAAAATTCCTTCACAAGATGGGAATATATGCTCTGAGAAATGTGTTATCGGCTCCTGGATCGCCTCGGGGACTAAACACATCCACTGACCTCTACTCTGTCACAATTGTTACACATTTTTGAAAGTCAATCCTCGAACTTTAGAACTTCAATAAATCCCACTTCAGTAACTCAAATTATAAGTTTTTCCTTTCTTGCGTTACGAAGTACTTCGTAAGGCGAGAACGCTATGTGATCGTGAAAAGAGAAAGTTAAGTAATCGTGCTCCAGAAAAAGTCTCATTGCCAGGCCCTTGTTTTATACTTGATCCACCCTTTAATTCGGTCTTATTCCGTTCCGTCCTAACCGTCGGCAAGCCGAAGCATTGGCTATCGCGAAGCGGCGCACTCGCGCTGCCACGTGCAAGCGAGAGCGACCTGCCTGCTGCCGCTGAGGGGCTTGCTCGCGGCCAAGGCCGAATCGTCGGAGGCCAACGGCCGCCGCTCTGCCACAAAGGCGCAACGTAGGGAGACTGCACGAACGAGGGGCTGGAAGCCAAACAAGGGCGCCAAGAGGTCTTCTCGTTATCGTCTTACTGCAGATGTCGTTCAAAAGTTTAATTGTTCTATCACCATAACTGTAGTAAGCAATACTCGTACAGCGTTTGAAACAACCCATCAAGAAAAGATTTTTGCTGTTTTCAACACTATGTTGTATTATTAAATCGATTTATGACTTTTATTAATGAAATAGTCCAATCTATTTCCGCTCATGGTTTGAAAAATTCTCGCTGGCCGCTACGTAACTCGCGAACACATCGATAAGTTTCAAACCAGTGGTGAAATAAAAATTACTTCTGATACGGTTGGCGGTGGGGTTTTCTCTCCAATATTTGAAGCGCGCCTGTATTTTCACCGCTTGATCAAATACTTACTTACATTCTTATTAATCTCAGAGATAGCTCAGGACAGCAACGGTTTTCTCTGCAGTTTGTCTGACCGGGAGATCCTACGTTCGAGTTCCGACGATGGCAGGATTTTCGACACTTGCGTCTCAACTATTCGAAATTTAGTCGCTGTTTGGAGGTGAATTTGAGCGTTGGCGCACATGCGCACGCACACACTTACTCACACCATATGTGCACTACACTAACACACGTGGGGGGGGGGGCTTAAAGCTTCTTCAGCTGGGAAGAAATATCTGGAGGGGAAACCTCCGACAACCGACTTGCTTTGAATAATAATTATTGAAATTATGTTGTTTTTATTACCAATGTTATTTTTATACACGGAATTGGAAAGAATAGCAATTAATAGGGATAGAAAAGCGCAAAGCGATACTCACTGGTCACCATTTTAGTGTTTAATACAATTATATTTTCATTATTACCCTTAACCTTTTCTTAAAATGATTGCTTCCTAAAAGTTCTGCTTACCTGAAACATTGTCTAGTTCCTTACCCACCCCCTTACCCACCTTTAAAATGTAGTTAGAAATTAGAGTGTTTTGGTAGTAAGAATTTCAAAATCACGGTCATTAAAGTGCATAAATAGACAGAAAAGAATAAACAGACAGAACCCCTTCGTCTTTGATCGATAAACGAACACTCGGCTTGGGGCATCCGTCGTAAACTTGCGCGGCAACTCTGATGATGCAGAAAATTCGCAAAAGACAATTTTTGAAATGGACCGTAGTCCAGCTACTGTCATCGTACAGCCTTGTTGCAACGTGACGAGGCGGCGTCTACTGGCCTTTGGTCTTTCGCCGCCCCTGTCTCCCCCCCCCTCTCGCCCTGCTGCTTCTTAAGGGGCCAAGGAAAAACCTCATTGCTGGAAAGAAATACTTATGGAGGAAAAACAAATGTACAGGCAGTTTTTCTGAGGAGAAGCCTTTTTTGTTTTCCGCTGCAAGAGAAGAGCTTCAGGTTGAAAGTTGTGTTTATTCTTTGGAGACGGATGATGAAGCCTTGGGCAGAGTGATGGCAGACAAATTGGTAGCGATGGCGAGTAAAGATCTGCCCAGTACAAATGTTAGCCTAGAAGCTTGATGGAATTCAAATATCAACAGAATCTTTCCTAAATTATTTAACACAGCGAAAAGGAGTTGTTTTTTTCCTCCTTATTTTTGAGGGCGGTGATCTATTCCATATAAAAATGAAATAATTGATTCACGTTTAATTTATCTCAAGTCTTACCGTGCAGTTTTGGGCTGACAGTAGATATTTGGAACAAAGAATTATATTTCGAAGATAATATAAGTAGGTACCAATATTCTTTAAAATAAACAGATTTAGTGCACAAAATTATACTT